AAAAAAAAAAAAAAAAAAAGACTTGCCAGGGTGATCGTGACCAGACCTAGGTGACTGAAACCTGGGTGACTTCCCCTACCACTGTCCCCTGAGGTTCATCTCACTTCCCAAATGAGTTGAACGTCACTGGGTGCACAGATGTGAAGAGAGCAGGCGAAACACTGCACTTGAGGAGCATAGGATTCGGGAGGGTATTGTCCTGGCGCATCTCCCAGAGCCTTGGTCTGAAGCCACTGTCACTGGTGACTCCAGAGAAGAGAGGCCCTGAAATTGCAGGCAATGTGTTTGTGTGAATGAGGAGAATGTCCACACATTTTATCAGATCCTGTTAACCTAGCAGATTTATTTACTTTTCACATACTTGGGAAGGTTATTTTTAAACAGCATAAATTGAAAGCATGTCCACGTAAAAACCTGCAAACAGATATTTATAGCAGCTTTATTCATGAGTGCCAAAACGTGGAAGCAATAAAATGTCTTTCGGTTGTCGAGCGGATAAAGGACCCGGTATGGGCCGATGACGGTACGTTATTCAGGGCTGCAAAGAAATGAGCCATCAAGCCACGATCCTTAAACACACATTATTAAGTGGAAGAAGCCAGTTTGCAAAGCCTAACCGTACGACGTGCTGGAAGAAGCTAACGGATAGCGATAGCACACGCGGTGTTGCCAGGGTTTGCAGGTAGAGGGCAGTGAATCAGCAGCACGCAGGGATCTTGAGGGCAGGGGAGCTTCTCTGTGTGGCACTGCAGTGGTGAATCCGCGTTGTTACACATTTGCGGAGGCCCCTGGAACATAACACCAGCAGGGTGAGGCCAGGGTAACAGCTGTGTGTCCCTGTAGCTTCCTCAGTTGTAACAGATGCACCGCACTGGTGGGGGCGCTGACGGAGAAGCCATGCGCGTGTGGGACAGCAGGTGTACGGCAGTTCTGAATTTTCTGCTCGGTTTTGCTGTCAACCTAAAGCTGTTCTAAAAGATTGTTTTGTTTTGCTTTGGGTTTTGATGATGATGTTGTTTCGGGGCTCAAACTCAGGACCTTGTGCTTGCAAGGCAGGCGATGTATCACTGAGCTACATCCTCCGCCTTTGTTTTGTGTTTTGAGGTGGGATCTGTGTTGTCCAGGCTGGGCTCGAATGATCCTCCTCCTTCAGTCTCCCAGATAGCTAGGACTGTAGGTCTGCATGGCTATGACTGGCTGCTTGTATTTTTAAATAGGCTAAGCTCAAAAAATGTATATAGTTGACAGAGGCCCAGGGATCTGAGGATTTTGTCTGAACTTCCTAAAACTGAGAAGCATGGTGTAGATGTGACTTTCTGAGCATGTCTGTAGCTTTCATGAGAATTTGAGGGGAGACCACCCCCAGGCTGTGGGGTAGAAGGTGCAAGAGCAACAGCCGCTCCCTCCAACCCTGTCCCCAGGTTCCTCCAGACAGCTGAGATGGTGAAGCCCTCCACCCCGTCCCCCAGCCATGAGTCCAGCAGCTCGTCGGGCTCCGACGAAGGCACCGAGTACTACCCCCACCTGGGTGAGAGGCTTTTGGGGAAAGAATGAAGGAGGAGTGAAGGGGGGAACGTCAGGAGCCTTCTGGGGCGGTGAGGAGAGAGGAGAGCAGAGGAGCCTTGGAGGTGCACTTTTGAGAGTTGTGAGGTGGGAAATCTGGAAGGATTAGTGCTGCTCCCCCTTCGGTCCGGTCCCACTGCCTCAGTCCATGGCCAGCACATCTGCGTCTGGCTCCATGATCGGAATGGGACAGGACCAGGTCTGTCTGTTTCCGGGCCCTTGGCATCTTCAGTGCGGGGCTCAGGACATGTGTTGAGTCCATCCAAGCGGCCCTCATGCACCTGATCGTTGTTCCTGTGCCTGTGCCCGTGCCTGTGCCTGTGCCCTGCTTCTCCCCTCTGCTCCTCCACAGTGATCTAGTTCTGACTTGATGACCTACACTCCAGGCAGGGTCTCCCCTGTCTCCTGTCCTCCCTGACGCGCTTCTGACTGTGTCTGTCTTCCTCATCTATCTTTTTGCCATCAGACTGGTGGCTCCTTGACAGCAGAGGCCAGATCTGACTTGCCACGGGGTCTGCAGCATTGCTGTGCACCCGGCCTTCTGTGCCGCAGTGCATAGGTATCCCGCAGTGATCTGAACTCGGGGCAAAGGCAGGTCTTTGGGGTGAGAGAGGAGTCCATGAGACCAAGCGCTGCCGCCTCACTGCCCATGCCCTCCCACCCTCAGTCTTCCTGCAGAACAAAGCTCGCCGGGAGGACTTCTGCCCTCGGAAGCTGAGGCAGATGCACCTGATGATCGACCAGCTCATGGCGCACTCCCACCTGCGTTACAAGGGTGAGGCTCCCCGAACCTCCTCCTGACTTCCGAGGCGGTCCCGTGGCAGAGACCCCTGACCATTTCCCCGTCCCGCCTCTGCTGTCACACACCCACCCCCAGGCCCGCCGCACGGCACCTGCAGGCTGAAGCGCTTTCTCCTCCAGGTACTCTGTCCATGTTACAGTGCAACGTCTTCCCGGGACTCCCGCCTGACTTCCTGGACTCTGAGGTCAACTTGTTCCTGGTGCCCTTCATGGACAGCGACTCGGAGAGTGAGAACTCGCCAAGAGCAGGTGCACTTGCCCCTCTGGGGCATCCAGCCAGGGGGAGGCAGCCCGGCCTGGGCGGGCAGTGACAGGGACCCAGCTGGTCCAGAAGCAGGCCGGCCTGTGCCCAGTGGTTGCTGGGGTGCTTTTTTAGGTGCATATTTCAGAGTTGTGAAGGCATAGGAAGAGCTGAGCCAGGGCTGACTGGGAAGGAAGACCCTCTCCTGGCACTCAGCCCCCTTACCTTCCCCACCCTGACTTCCCAGGGCCTGGTTCCAGCCCACTTTTTTCCCTGCTGCCTGGGTACCGTGGCCACCCCAGTTTCCAGTCCTTGGTGAGCAAGCTCCGGAGCCAAGTGATGTCCATGGCTCGGCCTCAGCTGTCACATACGATCCTCACCGAGAAGAACTGGTAAGAGCTCTGCAGAGGGCTGGCTGTGAGGCGCCCTGGCCCGGGGCAGACGGGGTTCTCAGAGATCGGTGGGAGCCCGTGAGCCCCTCCTCAGTGAGCCTCAGTTCCTTCAGGTCTCTTCCTCAGTGGTAGCTGCTGCCATCCTGGAGGCGCCTGATCTGTGCCTCAGTGCCAGTGTGTGCCTAGTGAATCATCCTGACTAGTGTCACAGTTTCTAGTGTGGCGACTTGGGCTCAGAAAAGTACTGCGTAGTAAGGTCGCACACCTGCTAGAAGGGTCAGTGAACCTGCTAGGCGTGAAGCTTTCTTCTGATGACCAGTGGTAGGAGACAGGGACAGGAGCCAGCGGGAGCTGCCCTCTGAGCTTCTGCTGGGTCATAGCTTCTCCCCGTCTCACTGTCTCCCACCCGTGCCCTCCTGCCTGGCCCATCGGCTCTGTCCCCTGCTTCCACTTGGGCTGCTTCGCTTTCCCAGCCGAGCTCTCATGACTTCCGTGCCCAGAACCCACAGCAAATAGGTCCCCGGCATCTCATCTTACTTGGAAGAGAGACACCCTGGCTCGGTGCTGCCTCTCTGACTTGGTCCCCAGGGATTCTGCAGTGGGCTGTGGCCAGAAGGGACTGGGATCAAATGCAGCAGCCAGAAGCTGCTCAGGGCTTGCAGAGTGAAGCTGGAGCCAAGCTGGGGTTCAGCCCGGGCTCTGCGCACACACACACACACACACACACACTCACACACACACACTCACACACCCTTGGTTTAAGCCAGGGTTGAGTGGAGAGGGAGGATGGGGAAACAGGAGACCGCAGCTGCTGCCGAGTGCTTTCCACCTGGAGGGGAGGGCGGGCTGGATGTGGGGCTGGCAGTGGGGCTGGCAGTGGGGCTGGCAGCCTTCACCAGGGGCAGCACTCTGAAGACGCGTTGGTCACATGCTGGACCCCACAAGGGGCTCTGGCTTCCCGCCTGTGCACGCTGCCCTCCCTGACTGTTGGCCTCCTCCCACAGGTTCCACTATGCTGCCCGCATCTGGGACGGGGTGAAGAAGTCCTCTGCCCTGGCCGAGTACAGCCGCCTGCTAGCCTGAGGCCGTGGGGAGGAGTGTCGTACAGGAACCTCTTGGGTCCCCGGTGGACAGTGAGGGAGGGCACCTGTCCTTCCCTAGGTGGGCCAGAGAGTGGAGCAGGCCCGATGGACGAGGGACTGCGACTTCCCGCCCAGAGACACAAGGTGTTCAGGGCCAGGACCCCGCCCTCACAGGGGGCTTGTTGGGGGGACTTTAAGAGATCCCACCCCCAACCTGGGATGAGCAGCCCATCCTAAGTCCCCCGCAGGGACAGGCAGTGGGAGGAGTCTGAATGGTGGCCAGGAAGCCCAAGCCCCGCCCTGACCTCCCTCCTCAGGGACAGGAACACCGGGCCTCTCTCCCTGGCTGCAAGGTGTTTCCTGTGAGGTGAGGCAGGGTCTGCAGAGCTCGGCGTTGGGGTGGATCTGGTGTTTTAAATAAACAGCATCATACAAGGCTGTTCTCCTCTCCTCTTCCTTCCCCTCCACCCACATGCCGCCCCAAGATGCAGGGCAGTTATCCGAGGCCACCATTGGAGCCCGAGTGGCCTCAAGCCTCCCTGCTGTGTGGCTTAACAGGGTGACTGTGCTTGTGCTTTCTACTCTTAAAAATGCCTGCCTTTGGGTTAAATGTCTACTTTTGGTTTAACAACTGGAACTTGTCCTCGGTTAAAGACCTACTTAACCTTAGTTCAAATCCTTCCCTTGCCCTTGCAGGCAGTACCTGCTGTTGGCTCAGTATGGTGGCTCCCTTCCTTTAAAAGCCTCATTGACTCTTGTTTAAAAGCAGCAGCTTCTGCCTTTAAATCCAGAGCCACCCCTCAGCTAAGTACACGGCACAGGCAGCACAGAGCCGGCCCTCACTGCTCAGTTAACCACAGTACATGATGTTCACCATTTCCCCATCTCCGCATTGGCCCGGCTGCCCCACATGAGTCCTTCCCCGCAGATTGCGCCAGTCTCCTGGGTAAAGCCATCGTTCCAGTTCGGCCTGCTCAGTCCCCCGGGCCCTGTCAGTCGCGCCCGTCTAGTCTGCTCACTCCTGGTACCCTGGGCCTCTGGAGAGCAGAGCATGGTGGAGGTGGGTATCGGGAAAGCGGGCTGTGAGAGGAGGGGCCCATGCAGGTCTTTTGAGAGGGGCTGAAGTCTGGGAGGTTTGAGACCCAGGGAGGCTCTGGCAAGCTGCTCCCTGGCTCCACTGCCCTGCCCCTTTCAGGTGGTGCTCCAAGCCCTTCAGAGCTGTGACCTCGGCTGCCTCCTAACAGACATGCTTCCAAGTCCCTTACCCCACACCCCGTCTGCAGAAACCCGCCCTGCAGCCCCGAGAAGGAGCTCCTGCCTTGTCACGTCCTGTGTCCTATCCCATCCCATGCGGGGGCTGCCGGCTGACTGGAGCCAGTGGACAGCAAAGGGTGAGAAGCCCAGGCAAAGAAAGGGCGCGCACTCGGCTCAGGAGAGCAGGAGTTGAGTTCCTTCCTTTCCATCCCCAGTGCCAGGGGACGGAGGGAACTGTGCGCTCCCAGCCCCTTCCTGCCTCTTCTGGCTGGCCTGGGCTCCGGCTGCTTATTGCCTTCCCTGGGCCGTCAAGGCCAACGCTGCTGAGGAAGGCCTGAGTCAGCGCACTCAGCATGGTGGGCTGCGTGGCCAGGCCAAGTGAAACCCCTGGTAGGTGGCGCGAGTGGCCAGGGAGCCCGGTGAGAGCAGAGGCGCCTCTGGGAGCCTGGCCTGGCACCTCCATCACCAGAGCCTTGGGGACCTCGGTCCATGGGCCCTGTGCTGTTGCCAGGCTTTTGAGCAGGGCTGGGGGGACCTCGGTCCATGGGCCCTGTGCTGTTGCCAGGCTTTTGAGCAGGGCTGGCCCCTCTGTTTGGGAGCCTGACTGTGGCACCGGTCTTCCAAGGAGTTGGTACAAGCCATGCCCTGTGCGTCCAGCATGGGCTCAGTTGAGGCCACATGCCGAAGTGACTACCAGCCAGAGTTCCACCACGGTGAGGCCTTCTCCAGGACGTACTGAGCTGCTGGGCGTGGCCACTGGGCATGCTGCTTGTGACTGGATGATTCCTTCCTCATTGGACGTCACCCTGGCCCAGTTCAGCCGTGGAGAACAGGGAGACCTTGGTTTCCTTCACACCATCCACTTCAACGCATCGTTTGGTTTACACTGTGTCATCTGACAGCCGCAGGGGCTTAGCACTTGCTGTAAGCACAGTACACAGTTTAAGAATATCAGCCTATCCAGGCACAGTGGCGCACACCTGTGATCCCAGCACTTGGGAGGCTGAGGCAGGAGGATCACGTGAACTACATAGTAAAACCCTAGCTGGACACAAGAAAAGAATGTCAGCCCTAGGCCCAGACTACCTTCCTTTGGATCCCAGCCTTGCTACTGTGCAGCCCTTGCCAAGTTACCAAACCTCCCGGGGCTTTTGTTTTCCAGTTTCTAAGTCAGATGTGCTAAGTGTGCCACTGCTGGATCTGCACTGGGCGCATAGCATCTGCTCGACTTGACTTGCAAATACTTGAGCCAGTTCTTGTCCTTCCCCCCCAGTGCAAGGGATCGTTCTCTGTCAGTGGATGGTCCGGCAGCAGTGAGCATTGTTTCACGGTGGAGCCTCGGCCAACCCCTCTTCCCACTCTGGGCCCCGTTGGGAGGTAGAGAAGGATTGGGGAGTCCTTCAGGGATCCCCCCACCCCAGCCTCCCGAGCCTGCCCAAGGCATCAGGGTCTGACAAACACACTTCCTCGAGAAGCTGCTTCGTGGGCTGGTTGATTGGCTAATTGTCAGTTTGAGAGGGGACCGCCCAGCTGAACTGAGTCAGCAGGGTTCTGGGCGTGGAAGACCCACTTACGGAGGCGGGGCGTGTTGTCAGCAAGGTATAAAAGGAGAGCTGGCGGGCCGGCGGGCGTTCAGCCGATCTTCCTTGGAGCTGCGCACGACTGATTTTCTCTGGAGAAGCTTCGGCTGTCTTTCTTCAGAGGCCCTTTGGCACTTTCATCACTTTCTTCGGGGGAGCTTCAATGCCCGTCTTCATCTCGGATGTCATTTTCTGACTTCCAGTGCAGACCCTCAGCCTTCTGTCTCAGGTCCTTCAGCCTTGTGCTGCAGACACTGGAGCTTCTGGCACTGTCTGGCGCAGATCCTTCAGGCTCCTGGTAACAGACTTGCACAGGACACTGCCGCAGGCTCCAGGCCCTGGACTGGATGCTTCGGGTCTGCAGTGAGCAGACATTTTGCACCCGTCTACATCTGACTAATAAGCACTGACTCGCACACACCCCTACCCTGAGGAATGAAGTCAGAGTTCACTCAGGGCTGGGTGGTGGCGAAACGCCGTGACGTGAAGGAGGAGGAAGTCATCCAGCGCTCCGGCCAGGGACGGTCAGGCTGGGAGGTGGGTGGGCCTGGGTCCAGCAGGCCCTAGAAGGTGCCCTCGGGGTACCCAGGGAGCAGGTGCAGGGTAGGGTGCAGTCACTTTCCCACCCCTGTGTTCGTGAGCCCAGTCTCTGGATGGTGGTGTCACCTTGCCTGAGCCTGCCTCCTCCTGCAGCTCAAGTGTGGCCTGCTCCCCAGCACCTCCCACGAGCCGGTCCCCCGCCTTGCTGCCTCCTTTGGAGCTCTGACCTCCTGCAGCAGCGGCAGCGTCTTGAGTTGGCTGGGCTTTGCGTCACATGGGCTGCCTGACTCCAGTTCTCAGCCTAAAGAACTTGACAACCTCAGACACACAGGTAAGGGGGTACTTTTTCTGAGTTGCTTTCAGATCACAATGTGTGCCTGTAACCGATTTAATGACTGTATTGCTGCCTAAGCATCCATTCTTAGGCCTGACGTAAGTTGTCTGGAACCCAGTTGAAACTCATCACTCCAACCTAGGTGGAACCTTCCCTCCCCTCTGGCGGTTTGTGGTGTAGCCCGCTAGTTCCTCATCTCGAAGGCCCAGAACCTGCCACACCTACGGCAGCTGATCATGGTCAAACTTAATGCTCAGTAATGGTCAGCCAATCCACAGCACCCTCAGAATAACACCGGTGGACCTTAATAGAAGCACAGTCCCTTGGCCTCCCCCACCCAATTAATCCATAAAAGTAGAAATCACAGTGACACGGTATTTGAGTCATCACTGGCAAGAGTACCCAGAGAATAACAGTATACCAGGCTGAGTTGCTTTGTTTTAGTTAACAGGTGTTCGTCACTGCCTGGACTCCTGGCCCCATAGCAGCCTAGGGAAGGAGGGTCTCAGAACCCACTGTCCAGCACTGAGAGGTTGGGTGACACACAGGGTGTTGGGAATGGGACACAGCTCTCTGACACTAGAATTCTGACTCCGAAATGTTTTGGGGAGGGGGCTGGTATTTACCCAGCACCAAACACTGTAACCAACAGCAGAAGATAATGATTTAAGACCTGGGACCTTCCTCCTTACTGGGGATCACAGTTAACACTCCTTCTGCATGAGTCTCATACTTTTTTTTTTTTTTTTTTTTTTTTTTTGGTACCGGAGATCGAACTTGCGCCCTTGTGCCGGGCAGCAACGCAGAACCACTGAACCAAATCCCTGGCCCACATAGTCAAGTCCCATTTCACAGAGCAGAAAACGGAGGCCCAGAAAGGCAAAAACCACTTGCTAAATGTCTGCTCCAGAGTCAGAACATAGATCAGCTCTCTTAGGTCCTTTTGCCTGAAGAAACCCTAGATCATTGTACAGTGAATACTTGCTGTAGGCCCAGCCCTGCAGGAAAAAAGAAAACCTCGCCTACCCTTGTGGGCTGGCCCTGCTCAGGGGCTGTGGTGCACGGCTAGGACCTTGTCCCCCTCAGGGCCCTGATGGACACGGACAGCCAGTGCAGACATCCTGGGACTGCACCCAGCAAGTCACGTCCCTGCTGTAGCTTCTGACTCCCCTGAGGGGAGGCCCAGAGAGTGATGTCGGCTTCCTGTCCTGTTTGATGGAGAGCCGACTCTTCAGAGGGCCACAGGACTCAGCTTTGCTGGTATGCAGCTTCAGGCAGCTGGGCAGCTTGATTTCCTGCGAGCAGCCACAGGTGGCTTGAGCGGAGAGGGGAGAAAGCTCCTTCTGCAGCCTCAGGAGGCTGAGGCAGGAGAGCTGAGGTCTGAGCAGGACTGGGGGTGGGGAAGGGGGAGAGCAATGGAAGGGACAGGATATGGGACCAGTGACTGAGGGAGTAAAAGGGACAGAGGAGACAGTGCACTGTGTCCCTTTTAACCTCAGAGCAAGTGACACGCATTCCAGACCTCTCTGCGTAACATGGGCTGGGGCAGGTGTGTGTGGCGTGATGTCAGTGATGGCACAGCTCAGACGGTGTCAGCTGGTTTGGAGCACAGATTTGAGCCAGGTGTTGTGGTGAACACTTGTAATCCCAGCACTCTGGGAGGCTGAGGCAGGAGGTGGCAAGTTCAAGCCCAGCAATTTGGTAACTTAGCTAGACCCTGTCTCGAAATTTTTTACAAGGCTGGAGATGTAACTCGATGCAACCACAAAAACAACAAAACCT